ATCTGTCAGCATGGCTGAGAACATTATGCTGAACAGGGTCGATGCCAGCACGCACCCTTGCTTGACGCCATTTGTGATGGGAAAGGCCTCTGAAGCTTCTCTGTCATCCAAAACACGAGCTGTCATGCCATCGTGGAACTGATGTACCATCAGGATGAATCTGTCAGGGCACCCAAACTTCGACATGATGCTCCACAGACCTTTGCAACTCACCGTGTCAAAAGCCTTGGTGAGGTCCACAAAGATGGTGTACAGTTCACGATTCTGCTCTTGACACTTCTCTTGGAGCTGTCGGGCTGCAAAGATCATGTCCACAGTGCCACACTCTTTGCAGAAGCCACACTGTATCTCGGGTAGTAGACCCTGTTCCAGGTGGTCAGTCAGGCGATTTAGCAACACACGTGCAAGGATCTTGCCTGCGATGGAGAGCAGTGATATTCCTCTATGATTATCACAGACTAGTCCATTTCCTTTCCTCTTGTAGAGGTGCACGATGGACGCGTCTTTCAGTTCCTTAGGAATGGATCCTTGATTCCAGAAGGACTGGAACAGCTGAGTGAGTTTGTCGACAAGCACTGCACCACCTTCCTTATATACTGCCACTGGGATCGCAACAGATCCTGGGGCCTTGCCACTGGACAGCTGGCTGACAGCCTGTAGGGTTTCAGGCTTTGATGGTGGGGCATCCAGGCTGTGGTTGATATCCGCCTGGGGCATTCTGTCAATCGCCTCGTTATTGATGGAGGATGGGCGGTTCAGTACAGATTGGAAGTGCTCAGCCCAATGCTGTAGAATCAGAGTCTTCTCAGTAATGAGAGTTGCACCATCTGAATCCAGTAGAGGGGAGCTCCCTGAAGGCTGAGGTCCGTACAAGGATCTGAGGGCTTCGTAGAACCGTTTGGCATTGTTTCTATCAGCAAACTTCTGGATTTCATCTGCTTTGGCACTCAACCAGGAGTCCTGCATCTTGCGAAGCTTGCTCTATACAGTCCTGTGAGTGTTGTTGAAGGCATTTTTCTTCGCTGTTGACAACCAGTTGTTCTGATGAGCACGGTGAAGGTGGTGCTTTTCAGCAAGTAAGGCCTTGATCTCTTCATCATTTTCATCAAACCAGTCCTGCTGTTTCCTGTGTGAGGGTCAAGAACCTTTAGTGCAGAAGAGTGCACAATATTCTGGAAGCGTTTCCAGTCCTTCTCAGCATTTTCCTCTAATTGCAGCTCTGAGAGTTGGTTGTCAAGATCTTCTGCTAATGAAGCTGCTGTGTTGGGGTTCCTCAGTTTACTGACATTGATCTTTTTCATCACAGTTTTGTTTCCCTGCGGACGTCTCTTAGGCTTGATGTGAAGGCTTACTTTGGAGATGATGAGTCTGTGGTCAGTCCAACAGTCAGCGCTCGGCATGGCCTTGGTCACCCTTACATCCTGTCTGTCTTTCCTCCGCACGACGACATAATCAATGAGATGCCAGTGCTTGGAGCATGGGTGCATCCAAGAGGTCTTTTTGCGAGTGGGCAGGTGGAAGATGGTATTAGTGATGATCAGATAATGAGCCACACATGTCTTCAGTAGTAGTAGCCTATTGCTGTGACATTTGCCGCTTCCATTTTTTCCAATGACTCCATCCCAGGCAGAGTGATCGGATCCTAGTCTCACATTGAAATCGCCAAGTAGAATCAGCCTGTCGGTGCACTTCACGGATGAGAGTAGGGCATCAAGATCTTCATAAAACTTGTCCTTTACTTCATCCGGATTTGTCATTGTGGGTGCATAGGCGCTGATCAGTGTGGCTTGCTTTCCTCTTGGTAGTGGGAGATGCATTGTCATGAGTCGGTCGTTCACACCCTTGGGAAGACTGGCAAGTATGGGGACAAGATGATTCTTAACCACAAAGCCAACTCCAGATTCACAACATTCGTCACTGCTACGTCCACACCAGAAGAATGTGTAACCGCCTCCTGTTTCTGTGAGCTGACCTTCATTGGCTAGGCGAGTTTCACACAGGGCCGCTATATCGATGTTAAATCTTGTGAGCTCTCTGGCGACCAGGGCTGTTCTTCTTTCTGGTTGATCTGCTGAGGGGTTGTCTTGAAGCGTGCGTACATTCCACGTGCCAATAGTCAGTGGTGTTACCTTGCATTTTCGTTTTGTTTGCAGTTTTGTTGTTCGACCACATAAGATGGGATCCCCTTCAGCCATGGTAAGCTGACCAGGGTTCTGTGAAGCAACAATGTTTAGGGCACCTTTTCTAGCCCCTTCCTCTTGCTACGGAGGTGAGCAGTATGGTCCTAAAGAGGGCTGCTCAGTCAGTCAGGTAGACGCTGAATCCAGCTGTTGCTTCGGTCAGCAAGAGGATGACCATTAGACCTGAGCCGCCTGTGTGCAGGTCTGCGGCTACAGCTCCCAGTGAATCCACACCTGCTGCCTCGTCACTCACCCATCACCACCGGACTCTGAGGTTGAACTGAGGATGTCAAGACTTGTGCATGGATTGGATTAAAGTGAGGGACAGGTGCGCATAGTCAGCCTCACTCTCTCTTCCCAGAATCCATCTTGCTCCAGTGGCAGGACAAGAGTCGAGACGGTTGGAGATGGGCTGGGCACAGTGCTTGACCAGGGCATCTTCGTGTCCTGCCGTGTTCTTAGCGTACCACAACGCTTGCAGAAACCGCCTTCATGACCGTTGGTCCTATTCTAGTAGATCTCACCCACTCAATCCGCCTGAGTCTGTCTCAGGACAGACAAATCCCTCTCTCACCAAGGGTCTTGACCCAACGGTTACCCTCTACCTGGTTTGCCCAGCCTCTAGAAACTGTTGCCCGGGGTGTGGCTGCTGCGCATGCTGCAGCTACTGGGAGCCACAGGTGCGAGCTGGGTGATAAGTGGGGACCAATGGTGGGTGAGCTACCCTAGGAGGACACGACATGCCCCTACACCAGAGGAACGTATGCAACTGATGAAGGATCAGGTGAAGTAATGCACCAATAAGCTAACACTTAGAATTCTGTATCCCAAAGATACGGACACAGTTCACATGGTTTGCTGGGCTCATGAAGGGTTGTTTAACCCCAGTGTGCCATGGTGCATGCTAGGCAACATTCCGATCACGCAGTCCCCAACTGGGATATCAGTGAGTTGTCATGTCTTGCAAACCTGACCACTGTGGGTTATTTGAGGATTAAATGGAGCAGACAGGTTTGCATATCCAGAATGGTACCTGGCACGAGTTGTTCACCAGGAACCTGGCATGTTATGTGAGCTGGGCCATTGTTTAGGCACCCCACAAATATACAGGTATAGGCAAAGACAAACGGTGTAAGCATTTCTGCAAGCAGCATTCTCAGATCAGATCTCCAAAGCAGAATCTGTTCTCTCTGCACAGAGTTTTGCTTAAGTTATCTTTAGCTCTCTTTAGGTGATAAACAAGAAAAGCAAGGGTTACTACAAGAAATCAGAGTTTTCCAGACTACTTCATGTTGGAGGCTTTATCATTTTAAACAGATTAAGCAAAACAGGTCAGTGCATTAAATGGGAAGAGATTTTAGGTATAGGAAATTCAGAGCTCCATTGGTATATCTCACACAGGAGGACCCTGAGGTCCTCGAAACAGTTATCACTAGCATGCTATGCGCCTCACATGGCTCTTTTTCAGAATGACAATCCTTTCCGAATGCCTCCCCACATTCCCCATCAATCCTCTCAAGACTGCTGTGCCCCCATCAGTATTAGGGGTGAGGAAACAGACATCTCAACCTCATTGCATTCTCTGGGTGGGTGAGAATGCAATCTCTGCTCCCTGCATTGTCTCTGCTCCCTGCAGTCCTGATTGAAATTGCTTTCCAAACACCAGCCCTAGAGCACTGGAGAGTGGATGGAGTTCTCAGGGCTAAAGGACTGCCTGCCTGGGATACATATACATATTCTCTGGTTCTTCTTTCTTCTTCACTCAAACAGCTTTTGCATGGTTTCTTTGAAACATGCTGATTCAAAGCTGTTAGAAGGAGTAACAGGAGTAAATACCAGAGGTAATTCCTTCTCCAAACTGTGTTCAAATTTCTAGAGGAAACCTGCGTGTTTCAAGGAGCATTTCAACCATGTTTTCTTTACCACCACACAAAGATCCACCAAATATAAGCAAGGAACTATAACATGCTGTCTGAAGCTACCTAATGATAGCTTTGTCTTGTCCACTCTAACACATAGCAGCTTTCTGGCAGTGCTCTTTTAGTGTTTGCCACTTCAGGTTCTTTTAACTGGAGCTTCTTCAGGTTGAATGTAGGATATTTTCCATGGAACCGCTGCATGCAAGGCTCTGCCATTAGCCTTGTAAAATTGTATGGAAGTCTAAATTTCAGATTATCCATTGAACATTTCGCTGTAATGTAATCTTACCCTCTGATGAGTTCAAAATGTTTCAGTACAGCCTTCCCTGAGCTGGTGTCATTCAGATGTGTTGGATGACAACTCCCAGCATCCCAAATGAGTTGGGCTGGAAGTTCCTGGGAGTTGTAGCCCAGCACATCTGGAGGCCACCAGCTTGGAGACAGCTGCAGCCATTGAAATTAGTTACACCTAATTCTTCATAGAATTCTAGAAAATTAATTGGACAGGATCTGAAGGGCTTTAAAGGAAAACCTCATTTTCATTGTGGATGTTGAGGCAACATTCTTACTGTCACTCTTTGTGCTGCTCAAAAAGCTGCTCTTCAGCTTAGGGGACCCAAGGTTTGGCTGTAAGGAGGTAAAGTGAGGACCTGAAATTGGGAAGAGGAAATTGCAGGAAAACAGTTATGAGTCTAGGAATTTGAGTACAGATCCAGAAGCATTGGATGCTTCTCACAACCTGAGCATTTATATCCCAGAGGTACCATTTTTCTTTTCTCCATTTGTGAAAATGGAAACTATATTGGAGCTACAGAGGTGAATGAGATGACCATAAATTAAATTACAAGTTAAAAATAAAGAAAAACAAGGAATATCAAGAAAAGTTTTCATCAAATCAATATCACTTAGTGCTATGATCTTTGAGTGTCTGATTTATCCAGGATAGATGCTCCTTTGTGAATCGCATATAGACACCAGGGTATCTGGAATTACCACAGTTTTTAACAAAGGCTAAGATGCCTCTTTGTTCACCATTGCATATCAACGGACTACCAGAGTCACCCTGGGGAAAAAGAAAGAGAAAGAGATGCAGTTATCCTTCACCTAGGCTGATATATAACACATACCTCCCTTTGGTCATAAGGCCCCAAAAGTTGAGAATGGAAAAAAAAATCAGCACTTGATTTTAGCAGGCCCTTAAATTAAATGTCCATGCTAGATGGCCCCATCACAACACTACATATGGTTAGTGATGCATTCATCACTAATATTTTTGGTAGCCTGAAAAAAGTCTTCTACAAAAAAGTTGGAAGTCAAGCAATCTGTCTGTCTGTCTGTCTGTGAAATCACTTAGTTAGAACCCAGTCCTATGGATGTTAATTCATATGTTTATTGAGTTCCCTGAGTCGAGTGGAGCTTGCCATCTCAGCATCAGTATGAGTTAAATGCGAGTTGTCATTGAAGCATGGGTTTAATGTGAGTTATCATGTCATCTGAACCCAGCTGAGGTGAAAAACTGTAGTGGACAACCCACAATTCACAAACCATGAATTCTTTCATAAATAGTTCATGGTTAAAAAGTCATGGTTTGTTGGTGCGGCTAGAGTCAGAAAACATGATAACCCAGGTTTCCAACAACATTCCACAATTCCACAATTACTCACACTCATTCATGTTATCCAAACCCAATCATAAACCTGCAGCTGTAGTCACTGCAATTCATGTCAGGCAACCCAACAACAAACAAAACTACCTTCCCGCAGCTCTAACATTTGCCGACCATGCATTTGACTTAGCCAGATCTTTCCTACGGTTGTGTAGTTTTGCATAAGCAGAGGGTTTTGTATATTTTCACGCAAACATTTAACCACTCCACTTGGCTCCTAAGATGAACAATCAGATGCTACTAACTGTTCCATCTGTTTCCTTGTAATAGGGTTTGTGCTTCAAGGAAAAGTGCAAGCAATTACAAAACCCAAATAAGCATGCCACCAGTAGAAGACTGTGATGACATCTGGACCCCCAGAATAAGGCAGCAGGAAGGTACCACAAAGCATCTCACTTGGAAGCATCTATCCTGTGGGGCTGCTAACTGCTATGTACCATGTCCTTAAGTCACACATATTTTCAGGAATGAGCATGATAAATAAGGCCCTTCTTCCTTTGGGTGCAATTTTTCTACCTTGGTGAAGGGCTCCCTCCACTCATTGCCACATGGCCCACACACTCATGCACCTGTGCACACACATGCACGCACACAGGTTGGAACCACAGTATTTAGGGAGGAACAATCTTGCTCTGCAGACATAATCCACTGCAGCCCTGAAAAACAACCCACCATGTTAGCCTCAGAAAAAGGGCTCCCACTGGTGTTGATGGGGAGGGGACTTTATTCAGCACTGTAGTAGAAGCAGAGAAGGTAACTCTGTTCCACTTGTTTTGTGAACCCCATCCACCTGAGTGAATGGAATGCGAACTGCACCTGCCCTTTGCCCCTCAGCCTCTGCAATGCAGGAGCTCACCAGGCTGTTACAGAGGCAAGACAGCTCTGAGCAAATGTGGATTTAAAGCCTTCACCAAACAAAGCTACGCAGCTATGACTTGCATGCTTCATTCTACTAAACAAGAAGCCAAGCATGAAAGTTCAGATTATGATGTTAAATTTTTCCTTGGGCTGCCTGGCTGGGGCATATTGTGAGTGGTAGGCCTTTTCTGTCCCAAATTCCATAGGATTGTGCACTTAATCATGGTAGCCAGCTGATTCATCAACTAAAGCATGGGTCCTCAAACTACGGCCCGTGGGATGGATCTGGCCCGCTATGCCGATTTATCCAGGCCGTGCTGCCACCCGTCACCCGTGTGCATGCACGCCACTGCCTCGCTGCGCGGGCAGGAGGTGGTGGCTTGCTCACTCGGAGATGGTTCTGGACTCATTGGGAGATCTCCAAGCGAGTGAGATGCGGTGGCGCATTCCCGACACCGCCTTGCGCATGCCTGACACCGCCTCACCAGCCCGTGTGCCCAGGCCCCCCTCCTCACCGGCCCACGCCGGGTTGCTGCCAGCTTTCAACTGGACCCCTGTTGAAAAGGTTTGAGGACCCCTGAACTAAAGTCTTAGCTGATAAGTCAATAGAGATTCAGTTCTAATCAGTGCAGGAAAATACTTGGTAGGGATCCAGATTAAGACTGCTTTGGTTCCTTTGGGGGGGCTTTTTTGGTTCTGCTATGTTACAATAATAGGTGTGTGTATCTATAAATTAAAGATGGATAAATTTTCCTTTTAATAATGAGTGGTGGTAAATTGCAAGGGATCTTCATTCAGTATCTTGCGTTATTTATTATGGTGTTGGTAGAATACAAATGTATTTAAATTTAATAAAGTGCTTGGCTAAAAGTACTTTAATTGAATGGCACATAGAAATAACTGGCTTAAAAAGAAAGCTCTCTTACCCAGCACATATCTTTCCCAGTTTTCTTTTCACCTGCACACACCATATTCATTGTGACATGAGGCACAGAATTATAGTGTTTCTTGTTATTGCACATATCTCTGTTCATGACAGTGACATTAACTTCACGGAGTTTATCAGATCCTTTTCTTTTATTAATAGTTCCCCATCCAGCTATTAGGCACTGAGTTCCTTCCTTGATGTCATCAGATTTTTTGGAAAGTGGAATGGTATTTGTGGGTTCATGAATATGTCCCTTTGTGTGAATCTGAAGGAATGATAAAAAAAAAGAACAGTTGGTATAACAGGAGGCAGTTGCAGATTTTGATGCAAGCTGCTGCAGAGTTGACTTCATATGCATCCGGTGGGCTAGATCAGCTGATACATCTCCCTCTACCATTCCATGCTTACAGTGGAGAGTATAATTGCATCTCCCTTACTTGTTGAACCCGTCTCACCTCCAGCACCTCCAGAGATCCCCACACAGGCCTTATGAGTGATGCAGTGGGACTCACAGGGTCAAAGCAGTAGGGCTTTTTGATTAAATTGTGTCATCTGCCTCCTCAGGCTTCTTTGTTCTCCCGGAGCTTAGCTGCAGTTCTCACACTACCTGGGCAGAGGAGGGGGAGATGCATGCATTTGGCCAGGACGTCTCCAATTATATTGTTTTTATATTGTTATTATGTTGTTATTTATTGTTGTGAGCCGCCCCAAGGCTTCGGCGAATGGGGCAGCATAGAAGCTTCCTAAATAAATAAATAATTTCCCTCCAAAATAATATATTTTTATGCGCTATCTCTGTCATAATGCAAAGTATCATTATCCTGTTGTGGCCATGGTCTTGAATGGGTCGGTAGGACCCATTTGCTTTAAAAATAGTTTATAATACACAGAAAAAGATGGATAAACACATTTGTCTAAATTTTGGGGCTTTCCTTGGGGACATGGCTATGAGGACAGTAATGATGAGTGCTTGCACTTCAAATTCTACCCTTCGATCACTATATTTGGGGATGTCCTTGTGTGTAAAATGTAATAGTGCAATAGGCCCAGACCCTGGCTTTTATCTGAAAAACTGAGCACATGGTCTGGGGCTATATATGATCATGATGTTTGATTTTATGCATGCAGGCTGTAGTCAAATGTCATTATTTATGTAAGCCGTCCTGAGGCTCTGCGAAAAGGACGGCATATAAATATTCTAAATAAATAAATGACCCGTATGAAATTCAGAGGTGGGGAAAGCCTGCCAGGTGATGTGAAGAATGAAAATTCTAAAATCTTTGGAGATGGAACATTAGCCTCCATCTCCAAATAAATAATTCTGGGGTCTCAGATTTTCTCCAGTAATACCTATGGGCAAAGTCAAAATTATTGCAGATCCTGAAATAGCTTTGTTGTTAATATTTTATGAATGGAAATGGAAATAGAATATTAAGAATTAATAAATTTGGTAACAGCAGCAAAACTGATAATAGCAAAGAATTGGAAGGAGAAATGGGATCTTCAGTTAACTGGATGCTATAAAGGGGTTTGGAATATAGCTGTTAATGATGCATTGACGTGTGGGATTAGAGTGAAAAAGGGATTGGTAACGAAGAATGATTTCGATGATATATGGGCTTTATTTATTGAATATGTACTAACAAAAGGGAATGGTATTAAACATTCAACGGATGCAATGCAATTTTGGATGGAAGAGGGTATTCCTGAAAGAGCAGAAAGTTAGTTAAGAAGAAAGAAATGAAGGAAAAATATTATATGGCCATGGTCCCAGTGGAGGGGTGCATTGTGTGTGTGTGTTTTTTTTGGGGGGGGTGCATGCACACACACATGCATGCGCACACTCACACAGGTTTTTTGTGTACCTTGTGTTGTTTCTTTTTATTGTATTGTAATTGTATTCTTTTAAAAATAAAAAAATCAGTATTGTGTTCCCTAGGTGCTCAGAAAGTAACCTTCTTCTCTAGAAGGAGAGAAGGCGCCTTCTCCACCTGGTGCCAACGTTTCTTTACTTTCGGCATCAGGCATAAACCTTTTTATTCTCCCAATATTTTAACTGTTAATTTGTTTTAATTGGTGGTTTTATACTTAATACCGGATGCCATGCTACTTCTATTCTTATTTCTATTTCTATTCTATTGTATTATGGATGCCATGCTACTCCTATTCTATTTCTATTTTTATTCTATTTTATTAATGGAATTGTAGACCATCCTGAGATGTCTGTAATGGGACGGTATAGAAAAGTTTAAAATAAATAAATAAGCAAGCAAGCAATTAATGTTTACCAGGTGGACAGGAGCCTGAAAAATCTCCATGTGTATGTATCCCTGCTGTTTATCATGGGATTGCCTTGAACTGTAGGAAGAAATAGTTCAGTTGGCTTTCTCCCACCAAGGAAGTGCTTCCTTTTGTTATCATGCCATCCAGTTGCTGTAGCACTTGAACACTTTTTTTGTCACAGCTGGAATTACTGTTTGGAGGACCCACATGTTGGTATTATATTCCATGGAAGAGGCTTTGGTGATGGCCAGCAGTCATGCACCTTTCATCTGCAGGATTCGGCAGAGCAGGATTAATGTTCTGCTTGGTCAGAAACAGGTTTTTAGAAGGTGGTCAGGAGAATCGAGGTTTGGTGAGTTCCCAGTGCTACTCAGAATGTTCATCAACAGAAGTGGGCAGCAGGGCAGACAAAGAGATAACCTTTGTTGAACCGCCTGCCCTTTGCAGCCTTATTGTTGACTCCTACTCCTTGTGCACTCTCCGACCCGTCCCCACCATGTTTTGCTCAACTGGACACTTTCAGCAGAGGGAGGGAGTCCTTCCATTCTTGGAAAGAAAACTCTAGGTTGAATTTATTGCCTTCCTCTTTCTATAAAGTTGGATACATTTGTGGTTGAAAATGCAGGATATAACATAAGCAAACAAGTAAATCTGAGATTTTACTGACAGTATAACTGTCAAGCTGCACTATACATTCCATTTAAGCAACTAGTTCAACCTCAGCTAGTATTTTTAAGGCTAAAACAAACTACGCATTTGATACAGATTCATGTTCACTTTTAAAAACTTACCTGCAAAAGCATAATGTCATTTTCAAATATCCTTGGATTAAAGCCTGGGTAAGAAAATGTTTTACTAATGTTAGCTTTATGTTTTCCATCCTCTTTTTTAGTCCGTGAATAAGCTCCAAGAATTACACGTGTATATTCATTCCTGAAAAGAAAACAGCACAGAATAATTGACAACTCTGCCATTTTGCTTCCCTTTATGCTGAACTGTTGGACTGACACACAGCTCTTCATTTCTTTTAAAACTACATCAGCTTATCTTTGTAATATATTCTGAACCGCATCCTCAATATAGAATAGTACCAGGTTCATTATCTTGCACTGATTAAGAAAGGTTCAACTTTGCACAGTAAAATATAAACAAATAAACCCAATTTCTAGTCCAGATATCAAATGCTTCAAATGTTACAAAAAAGATGGCTTGTTTTATTTTTGTTGCATGTATATGGGCTTCGATCCAGGCTCTGCCTTCTGTAAAAGGAAGGCTCGTGGTGTGAAAAGGGATAACCCCCGAGCCTCATACCGCCATTTCCCCATTTAGCCCAGTCTCACTGTGTAACTTTTCCAGAGGGGTGGAGGGGCTGCCTTGAGAAGGAAGAGGGATCCTGTGCAGTAGAACTAGTTTACATCTGGATTTAACCCATGTTTTAGGTCATTTTTTAGCTGGGACATCATACTATGAAGCTAATAAAGCAATAACATAGCTGTTGATCCATTTTCTCATGTTAATTTGATTCAGTGGGGAAATCCAGATTTAAGAATGGATAAGAAGATACTTTTGTGGCAGACATGGATGTATCAGGTAAGTCTTACCATGGATCATCTGGTGAATTTGCAGATTAGTTTTTATCATTCCTCATTTTGTGGACTGAATTTGATTGGCTAACTAGAGCTGAACAACAGTACTTACCATTGCACTGTTTATTAGCATGTAGGTTTCCCCCCTGGCTTTTACAGCTTTAGCTTCTCTCTATTCACAGCACTTACTGTGACAGACAAGGTAAACTGTCTGGTCTATATTCATGGTATTGGTAAATAAATACAGCATACAAGGCCTTAAGCAGGAATATAATAGGGAATTGGATTGTCCCATTTTGACTAATCAGTGCATCTCTGCTTTGGCATCTACATCTGATGCACCTGTGAATCTCAGGTTGCATCTTCTTCAGTAAAACCTTTTTAGTGCATGTCTATTAGATGCTGCAATGACTCTTTAATGAGAATTACTTGGACGGGTTTAATCCTGCTTTACTGAGGCTTCGTCTTCTGCTTTTATTGCAGGAGGAAAAATGCTTCTTTTAAACATACATTTTGGTAATCCCCAGCAGTTGCCCCCTTTGGAGAGAAAGTCGTTTTAAAGATAAATTTTGTACTGGAACACTTATTAATATTTGCTGATGTACATGCTCTTTTAAATTATCTATGTACCTTGCAGAACTGCATGCACATTCAGTGCAGATAGATTCTCTGCACCCACCCACCCCCCACCCTCCTGTAATGCACTGGACTGAAGAATCTGCAGCACTTTCAACATATATGGGTGGTTTATAGATGCCATCTGAGAATGGATATTTATATGGATACTTCGCTGAAGTTTATGCATAATTCTTAGAAACGTATATTTTCAAACGCACACACGTTATGTGTGCATTGAAACTGATTCATTCAAATCTGTGTAACCCATTTTTCTTTTCTTTGGTTAAAAAGCTGCCATAGATAATAAGTCAGAAATGAAAGAAAACCCAAAACATTACAGATAAAGCCACCACAAAAATCAGAAAGAAACACATCACCAACAAGAAGCAGTAGAAATAGAAGTATTTGTTAACTGTTTGAGACAGAAATCTATGAAATATTCTACTACCTGTTAAACAGAGCTGGTGCTGAGCAGCTTCCATAAGCAGAGTGGCACCACTGTTGCTCTCTCTTCATTGCATGAAGAAAGCCGCTGACTAGCTTGGTATCAGCAGGCTGGGTACTCATACCAAGACCACTCCATTGGAGATGCTCACTACCACAGCTCTGCAAGTGTTCTGACCAGGGCTCATTCCAGGTCTGAGGGGACCACGAGGTGCTTTCTAGTTCTCCTCCCATCCCCGCATCCTCCTCCATCCCTTTACACAATTACCAGGGGAGAGGTGGGTAGCGAGGACCATCTGGGACCAGGTTCTCCAGGAAAGCTGCTGAGTGAGAAGGCTACAGTTCTGCCACTCAATTTCCCCAGAACGCAAGTACCAGAGGTCTCTAAAGGAAGTTCTTGAAGCATTAATCACCTACTGCAAATCTGGGAAGAATTCTGAGTGTGAGAAATACCAATTTTGGAAATTAAATATATTGAGGGTTCAGGAACAGATGATTTTGTCAAAGAGCAAAGAATGAAACTGTCATTCTTAGTAACTAAGCTTCTCCTCATTGTTGTGCTCTTAGACGACATCTCCTGGCATGCCACATTGTGGACTATTATACACATTTCCCACTGATGCCGGGCCGTCTTATGCCACGTAATCCAGATAAAGTTATATAGGGTTCTCTTCTCTACTTATTCCTTCTTGGGAGGTAGCTGCTACCAGCACCTCCCACAAGGAAGCCGATTCTACTCCTTAATTGAAGAATGCCTGTCGGGCTTCCTCTTGTGAACTAACACCACAAGAACTCTGTAGAAACAATGAATATTTCTTCCAACTTACGGAAAACAGTGGGCTGCCGTTAATACCCAGTCCTTTTTGATCAAAGTTCCTCCACAAAATAAATGCTTTTTTCTGAAGAGGGCAACCATGAATGGCCTTGAAGCTGGGAATATTTCTTCCTTTTCATCTGTAGTTTCACCTGCAGATTGACCTGTGGAGAAAGCCATTCTAATCAGCTTCAGTGGTATCATATACACCATGGTGAGAGTTAATTTGTGGGAAGCAAAGTAATTGTGTAAAGGGTTAACAAAGTAGCTCTTGGTGTGGTTGCTACCTATGAGTCTTGACAGATGAGCGTGTGTTGTGGGGGAGGGGAGTAATTGGATGGTTGTTAGTTGTTCCTTTAGTGTCAGCCACACTAAATATAGAACATCTCAATAGATTTGGCAATTTTGAGGTGTTATAACCCTTGACTGCAAATGGAAATTTGAGGTTTGCCTACCTTGGGTCCTTAAACTCACCTCATTCTACATCACATCACAATCCAGAAAAAATGCTAGACCTTTTATATATGTTGAGGCAAGGTCATTCTGGAATGGCCCAATGATTACTGTGGGACTAAGGGAAACCCAGAGACACCCCTGGGTATGGATGCCAAAGTCCCCCAGGGCATCCTTGGCATTGTCACTGAGATTATCTCTTTCAGTTCAACTAATGACAGTGAGATGGTTGGTAAATGAGCACAGTCCCAAAACAGTCAAGAGTGCCCTACACCCAGGATTTCCTGGAGACACTCAAGTGGTGGAACAGACAGCGGAGGGATGTAAACAACTTTCAGCAGGTAGGATGAATTTGGGAACAAAAAACAAAAGAGGAAGAGTAGAAACAATGGGGCTGGACCAAAAATATTCTAAATAACCTGCATATTTTAGCTTAACACTCTTATGCCAGTAGCTAAGCCTTTGGAGAGGCATTTCAGCCTTCTGAAATGGGTGACGGCAGGGGCACAAACGCTGGTATATCAGCAATCAGTAGCTGGGGAAGGGAGTGGAGCTGCAGAATGGGCTGGCCCAAATGGCGAACTCCTGAAGGCTGGATTTGGACATCAGAAGGGCTGGGTTTGACTCCTACATGCTTCTGCACCTTTGGGCTAAAATATTATTCTAGAACTGAGGCAAGTGAGTTCTAAATACCCTGCATGCCCTGGGCTGCCCTTAGACTTTGGGAGATTTTCCTGAGCCAAATACTAACTTCTGAAAAGGGATTTGCCTTACCACTGCAGCAGGAGAGAAAAGGCTACATCCCTTTTTCCTCCTGCGCTGATCCGTTATCAGACCTCCCCTGTCCGCCGCTGCCCAAGCTGAGATCCTGTTCATTAGGTACAAAGCATCCTATCACACCTTACGGTGCAATCCTACACTGACTGGAGCATGCTGGAGTTGAACTGGGGTTAATCTCATTGGATACATAAAGGGCTATCCTCATCTGGCATACAAGCAATGAGTGTGGAGTATAGAGAAAATGGGGTTCAGAAATGCTGCAAATTGGGAGTCAAATAGTAAAGAAATGGAAAAAGTACAGCATACGGGTGTGTCTATATAAGGTATCTATTATGTGCTCAGGATCCTTCCTTCATGGTAATTGCTGGGTCCATAGCATGTTGACCCACCAGGCCTTCTCTTGTGTTTTGCAGCTGTTTTCACAGCTTTTAGAGCAGGGATAATGGGCAAGGTTTCCCTTACTTTTTGATGAAAAGCTAGAAAATGCCTGTCGACATTAGTGGTTCTACTATAGTACAATGACACTTTGCTATAGTAGAACTGCAAGGCAGAGAAAGAAAGAATAAACCCATAAAACTCCAAATGTAACAGAGACAGTCATATTTCCATGAAGAAAATGGAAGAAGCCTTGGAAAAGTAGCAGGGTAAATGCCTGAAGTAGTGTAACTCTAAAAGTACTGATTGAAAGTATTTATAATTATGGGCCACACCATGTCTGGGCCTCCCCGCACTGCTCCGGAATCCCTGCTTTGCCCAGTGAGGAGGGCTCCCACCTCCTCACCCAGAGATCTTCCCAGCCCTAGTTACTCTTTCCTTGTCATTTCTAGCAACTTACACAGGGCGTTGGGTGTAGGGGAGAAACCATACATTGAAAGAGCCAAGCACTTACTTCTCTGAATTCGGAGGAACAAAATAGCAGTGGAAAAGCATAAAATAAAGGAAAACCTCATAGTTGCCACCCTGCATTCCCCCATAACAATGAGATAGTTAATAAAGATTGATCATATAAATGATTGGTTTTTTCATAACTTCCTCTTAAGGGCATTTTTTAAACCTCAGACACATAATATTTAAAAGAATGAAGTAATTGCTGCTGATGTAATAATGTCCATAAGAAGTACTTTAAAGTTGGTTGACAACTCCAAGCCTGGAGACAGACTGGGAACAGCCACTGTTGGCATGATTATGACATCACACCTCTGTTCCTCCAGCAACTGCTGGAGCTGAATGATGGGGCAGATGTTAAGCATTCTTTGGCACATGTGTTCTGACAGATAACTATTCTGCTTTGGTGACCCCCAGCTGCAAAACAGAATGGGTGCCTTCTGAATATGGCCTCCTGAGTGCTCAGTTCCGCACCAGAACAGATTAATGGGTCAGGTAAGGGAGCCTGCAGAAATTCCCCCTCTCTCTCCAGGTGTCCTGTCCATTTGAATACTAGTCTAGAGTGGGGGGTTGCAGAATTATGAATTATTCCTTATAGAAGAGAGTGGTCCCAGACCCCTTAAAAGAGGCAAATGTGAGATGAAGATGCAGACAAGGGGAAAATCAGGGAGCGGGGAGAAGATCCAAGGTAAGGTGTGAAGTCGAAAGAACACTTTTACATATATGTGCAAAGCAATACTGTTGTAAATTAGCATTAAGGGGACAGTCCAAGAGCTACATGGAAAGAATGTGAGTGATCTGATAGGAGGAAGGCAGAGAAAGAGAAATGATGATATTCAGGGATCATCGTATCCCATTCATATGAAGTCCCATGAAGTAGGGATGGTTGTGTTTGCACAGGCTGAAGGCAGTAGCACTGTGCTTAAAGCTAACTGGGTGGTCTGGTGGTTGGAAGCTCTAAAAATGGTATTTTATTTTTAACCAAAACAGCATTAATTTGAGTTTCAAATCTATATTCTTGTATTAAAATGTAGCTAATAAATGGAACGTTCAGATATGGAACTGAGCTGGAAAGGAAATATGATCTTTTATGCTACAGCTGATAAGGCAGCTTATGTTTGGAAATATTCGGATTTAAAAATCTTGAAAATGGACTAAAGAAAAAGAAGAAGCGACCCATAGTCAAGTTGAATTTTTCAGGCTATCCTAATTTCCAAGGAATACAGTTCTTGCACACAATTTTGCCCACACATGAACTTCTACATATTTTTCTGCTTCCACCACAGAGATGCTTAAGAGTAAGTTTGGGTTGATGGGCCACATGGCAGAGGTAATCTTTCTCACTCTGTCTTATTGCAACTATGAAGAACATAGGACAGAAATATTGGTTTATTGGATTTCCTCTGTGGTTTTAATTCAAAGGAGGTGAAACAATAAAGCTGCTTTGATGGTGAACATAGAAATGACAAAGAAACCAATGTCTAAGAACAGGAAGTTACTAATTTAATTTCAGTTATGGGTGTGAGTATTGCTTCTGTATTTCTAAAGCTGTCATGAGATGCATTTCCTTCCTTCCCATATTCAAAGCCATAGATCTTTCTTGTAAAATATTCTTTATTGACCAAAGCATTTTCCAGAAACACAAAGACCCAGAAGGAATCTCTTTGAACCCAATTTTGTATTTACTTCTAGGGACTCTCCTTATGAGTATGATTGGGCCCCATCCTTTCAGGAGGGGCCTTTTGGAAATAAGCATACTTCCTCTTTACAGGCCAGTCCTCTAATTAGGCCACCCTCCCCTGCAGACATCACATCATCAGAGCTATACCCACCTGTCTCTGAGAAACTGCCCTGTTTCAAGCCTCTTTGCACTAACTGTACATCTTGGTCCTTCTCAGAGGCTGCCTGAGCACCTGGGGAGTCTGGCCTTGAGATAAGCACCTCCACTTCTCTCATTTCAATGTCTACAACTGGCCCACACCCTGAGACTTCCCCCTGCTCTTCCTCCTCCTCTGAATCCCAGTCAGCAGGCTTTGAGAATGTGCACCAAGAGCAAATGCCCTTCTCACCCCCAACAAAGGCTTCAGGGCAAAACAGACACTAATACACAGCTTCAGGGCAATGATGATTTTCAGCCATGGTGCAAATGTGGAGAATGACTGTAAATTGAGGAATTAGATGGTATACTGCAGTGTCTCCTTTTGTGCCATATCTCTTTTTAAGCCTTTAAATGGCCACACATGTCTTTTTCTTAGTTAGTTGCCTGCTTTAAGTTGCTGTTGGCTGTCAGATACATCCTTGACAAGAATTTCAAGTTTACAATAAGGGAATTTTAAGGTTAAGCCTGAAAGTTTACTATGTGATGGATACAGAATTCTCTCTGTTGGCTGATTGTCACTTTATGCAGCTAATCATTTGCAGGAGTATAACACATTGCCAAGGCTAATAAATTATAATCTAATCAGCAGGTGGTTAATGGAAACTTCATGGTAGTTAAGTCTGAGAACACTGGTCAGTTGAATCTCAGCATAGACCTGAACCCATGGAAGGTGCTACCTGTCAGCATCTTCCAGAAGTCTATGCATGTCCTTCTTTGAGGGACTCTCAATAGCAGGAAGTACCTAAATATTGCTATTTCACTCTGTTGCAGTCTTCAATAAAATCTGTTGCATTCATCCAACTGGTGTTTATTGCCTCCAGATCCTCTTAAAAAGGAACAATTGACTTTTGGCAGTACACATCTGTGGCAAAGTTGGCTTCACCTGGACTATAAACTGAGATGATGTCTCAGGTGGTGGATTGGGCAGAAGATCAGTTGAGGGGGGTGTGAAACTTGTTCTCTTGACTAGAATTCTCTTGGGCCTGGTTGATGCATGAAGAACAATGTGGTGGTAGAATCCTCAGCATATTCAGACACCTTCATGGACTGAACTGTCTGAGTTGTAAAATTCAAAAATGGATCCAAGCAATTTTGTCCTCAAAATGTTTTGCAAACATGTCACAGTGTGCTACTGAAGGTTCTCCCACTGGGTCAGAACATAAAAAGCGAGTAAGAGGAGACATGATAGAGGTGTTTAAAATAATGCACAGTGTGAAAAAGTAGAGGGGGAGACATTTTTCTCCCTCTACCATAACACCCAAACCTGAGGTCATCCCATGAAGCTGATTAGGAAGAGGTTTAGGACAGATAAAAGCAAGTGGTTTCTAGATCAAGAGAGGTATTATTGCCACTCTGTTTGACTCTGGTGTGTCCAGAACAGGAATATTGTGTTCAGATCTGGGCTCCACATTACAGGAAGGACATTGCCAGCTTAGAGTCAATGCAGCATAGGGCCACAAGGATGGTGGCGGATTGCAGGGAATGCCGTATGAGGTGAGACTGAGGGAACTGGCTCTTTCCAACCTGGAGAAGAGGAGACTCCCAGGGGATCTGTTGGCAACATATAGGTACGTGAGGGGGTATCACATGGAGGTGGGTAGGGACCTGTTCTCCCCTGCAGAGGAAGGCAGGACGTGCTCCAACAGAGCCAAGCTCAAGGAACCAAGGTTCAATTTGGATGCCAGGAAGTACTTCCTGACAGTTAGGACCCCAAGGGTATGGAGTGGGCTTTCATGGGAGGTGGTTGAAGACCATCAGTGAGGGTGTTCAAGGATAGACTGGACGTGCACATGGTAGGCATGTCATGAGTGAAGTCAGCTGGAGCCAGGGGTCAAACTAGATGGCCCAGGAGGCCCCTTCTGACTTGCTCTGTTTCTATGTTTCTAAGTACTTCTTCACGCAGAACATAGTTAGATTATGGAATTGCTGCCATGGGAAGTGGTGATGGTCACCAAATCTGGATAACTTTAGACAGGGTTTGGACAGATGCATGAAAGAGGAGGCTATCAGTGGCTACTAAACTTACAGACTACTTGCTACCTCCTTTTTCAGAGGTGGCCTGCCTGCCATCAGCCATTAAGTATGGTATATGGTGCTTGCACCCATCCTGCTTGAGGGATGGTGTGGGCAGATGTGTTTGGAATGCTAGACTGGATGGACCTTTGGTCTGCTCAAGCATGGCTTTTCTTGTATTCTTATGTTAAGGACTTTGCAGCTCAAATTACCACCAACAGAGTATCAGGTGAGGATGCTGAAGGAAGCACACTTTTTATTCCTGTAGTCATGACAGCACTCTTAAGTTTGTTTAAAATGCAAACATACACATGCTCAGAGTATAGCCATACACATGTATAAATCAGGACTGGAAATGGTGTTTGTTGTAGCCCAAACACCATTCCTTCTCCTTTCTCAAAATTTGCAGAAATTCACCAGTGATAGCCTTAGAACTGGTGTATATGACAGACCATTACAAGGATAAATTGCATGAATATAAACGAAAGTGGGCAATCTTTACAGAAAGAACAATTGTTAAAGAGTGATGATTATCAGGAAGGAAAATTAAAAACATAACAGAGTAGCCACTCATTCCAAATCACCACCTGTGATTTCTGCTATCCATTTTAAATATTTCTTTCTGAGAAGTGTATAGACACCAGGGTATTGGCGATCAGCACATCTTGATGGTTTCCCAAAGGACACAATGGCTTTTTGTTCATTCTTACACATCAGAGGACCTCCAGAGTCACCCTAGTGAAGAAACAGATATATTTCACATTAGTCCCAGGAACTGATATGTACCCTTGTCTAATAATTGGAATGTGTCAGGATTTTGAAAAAATAACCACCCACAACCCAGAAAATAACTCAGAGATCTTTTGTACTTGTTGAGGAGAGTTTGAACTATTTGTTGTTTTTGTTCCGCTGTTTTGAAAATATAGGAAACAGCAGGCGTGTCATTCACTGTATAATTCTTGGATGCACCTTGTTCTTAATCCTTTTAGGGTGCTATCCTATTGTCTCCAACTGCTGTCTGCAGGGGCCAGAGGATTATTCAGAGTTGCTGCTCTAAGATCTTGCAGTCTTAGAGCTGGGACTTCAACAGCTGAGCTTCTGTCCTGCCCCCCTCATAGTTTGGGCTGGCTGCCTCCCCTGGGACTGCAAATGCACCTTGGAGTGGAGGAAAGTGGTTGTGCGAAGGTGGGATGTGGAGGAGAGGAAACTGGGGCTGAGGACCTTTGCCAGTTCCTGTCCATATCCCAGCTTGCTTCCCTCCTCCTCTCTGGTGATTTAACTAGATGGCTGGAAATGGTCATCTAGATAAAAATCAGGGTGCAAGGCTCCTCAGAAGCAGCAACTGAGGCATAAGATGCATGTAAGAATCTGAGTTCAGAGGCTTACATGCTTCAAGCATGGAGACTGTAAGTCTGTGTCCTCAATTAGTATTTTGAAATTCTTAAGAGAAAACCCTGGAAACGGAATATAGCAACCCAGAGATCTTGTGTGATTTAAGTCATGATCTTGTACTTGTTTGCCCGAGAGTTAGCCCCATCAAACTCAGTGGAAATTATTAGTGGACATTTTCTATCAAACTTGGGACTCTTTTTATTATTGGCTAGAGAAATGGGACTTCGTTTAGATTTAAATATGTTTTTAAGTTATCATAAATAGAAAAAATGTGGGGGCTGACCCAGCAGGTCAGATGTTTCTGATGATTGATGTTATTTTTAGTTTTTCTTTGTATTAGGGTTATTTTGAATAAAACTTATTATTAAAAAAATTAGTGGACATATATAGAATAAAGATATGTTAAAGTAAATGACACAGAATTGCCATTACTGTTCCATTTTAAACTAAAGTTGAAGAAACCTAGGATGTCAAGACTCAAGTCATTCTTTTCCATTCTAATGTTCCATTTTTCTATGTGCAAGTCCCATGGTATTCTTCTGGATAGGCTGGCCAGGTAGGAGTTGGAGGCTCTGCATGGCAGTGGTTCTGCTCCTATCTGGCCGGCCAATTCCAGAAAGTGGTGCTGGGATACTATAGTGCTGCGCCATGGCAGCTTTTCATGGGGTTCTGCAGGGCAATATTTTGTCCCCCATGCTCTTCAACATCTACATGAAACCTCTAGGAGAGGTCACCAGGAGGTTGGGCTGCGGAGTCACCAGTATGCTGATGAGACCCAGCTCTACCTCTCATTTACATCTACTCCAGGTGAGGCAGTGGCTGTGCTGAACTGGTGCCTGGCTGAGGTAATGGGCTGGATGAGGGCCAATAAACTGAGCCTCAACCCAGATAAGATGGAAGTCCTGTCGGAGGGCGGTTCAGGTTTTCAGGTAAGTGACTTTGACCTTGTCCTGGATGGGGTAGCACTCCTTCTAAAGGGCAGGGGCCACAGCTTGGGAGTGCTCCTTGATTCAGAGCTGTCACTGGAGACACAGGTGGCAGCGGTGGCAAGTAGCGCCTTCCTACTGCTTCAGCTGGTCCATCAGCTGCGTCCTTACCTGGACGAACACTGCCTAGCAATGGTGATACATGCTCTGGTAACCTCCCTTTTGGATTACTGCAACGCGCTCTACATGGGGCTGCCCTTGAAAGTGGTCCAGATAGTTCAACTGGTACAGAATAGAGCTGCCAGGCTGCTGACAGGGACTGGCTGTTACTCTCACATAATGCCTGTCCTCTACCAGCTCCACTGGCTTCTAGCTGAAGTCTGGGCCCAATTCAAGGGCTGGTTTTGACCTATAAAGCCCTAAACAGCTTGGGACCAGGATACCTGAAGGAACGTCTCCTTCCCTATATGCCTTCATGCCCCTGAAGATCTGCGGGAGAGGCCCTGCTCTGGGAACCCTCCCTGAAAGAGGTAAAAAGGGCATCTGCTCAGAGTAGGGCCTTCTCTGTGGTGGCGCCCAGATTGTGGAATGCACTCCCCAGAGAGGTTCGTTTGGCGCCAAGCCTATATTCTTTTTGGCATCAGGTCAAAACCTTTTTATTTAAGCACCATTTATTTATTTATTTAGGACACTTATAGGTCATCCATCACTTTAGCCTCTGGATGGCTAATTTTAGAGATTAGTAATTTGTAGTAGTTTAACAGTTGCTTTTGATTTATTGTTATATATTATTTTGTACTGTATTGTTTTATTGAGTGCTCTTATTGGTTATCAGTTTTAATGTTGTAAGCCGTCTTGAGACATTCCTGTATAGGATGGCATACAAATGTTTTAAATAAAATAAAAGAAAATTTTAAATGAGGGCGTTTTCAGCTATGTGGGCCCCTGCAATCTGAAATGGTCCAATTCCAGGCAAATGATTTTCATGCATGTGCAGATAGCTTGTCCCATGTTCCCTGGACCAATCTGTGGGGGAGGGCTAGAAGATGTTGTGCTGTGGGTCCCCAGTACAAGGTTCTGCCCCTCCCATAGGTAATCCTGCTCCACCCTCCTCACGTTTTTCTTTTCTTTGTGCAGACTTGGCTGGTCCTTGCAGGGATGATGCCTCCAAGTGCCATCCAAGTCCGTGGCTTTACAGGTCATTTGTTGCTCCAACTGGGAAAGGGAGGAGGACTCCAGGAGGCAGGACTTGGTGGCCACTCCAAGGATGCCTCACAGGGCAGATGGACCAAATTAGGCCTGTCTGTGGGCTATGGTTCAGCACCCCTGCATAAAATCTCAATACAGTGATGGGGATTGTGCGGGCTGCAAGTGTTGCTGGACTGCAACAGAATCGATCCTGCACCATTGACTCTGCTGGCTAGGGCTGAGGGAAGGTTCAGTCCAGCAGCCTCTTAAGGGCCATATATTCACCCCTACTGCCTTAACAAAAATTCCCTGCAGGTTGTTCATTCATATTCTGCTTTATGCATCATATGTTACTTCGCACTTCTGCCTTACAAAAGAGCAATGCTAGTAAATAAAACCTCTTACAATACACGAATCCTTGAGTCCTTTCTTGTCTCCAGCACACACCATATTCAGTGTCACTATAGGTTTAGAATTATAATGTTCCTTGTCATTGCAGATGGTCCTTTCAATGACACCTATGTTAACTTCACGCAGCACATCGGATGCCTTCTTGTCCTTGCTATGAGTAGCTCCCCATCCAGCCACAAGACACTGTGTTCCTGGTTTAAGGTCAGAGTCAGTGAGGGGCAGCTTAACTGTCTTCACATATCGATTAATCTTTGCTGGGACATTAAGCTTAATTGGGAGAGGGAAGAAAACAAAAGTTGTTATTAGTAATTAATCAGAGCCAGTGGAAGCTAGTTTGCTCCAATTTCAGTGGGCAGATATATTTACTCCGGGTTTCAGACTGAACTTTTAAAGAGCTATCCATGGTGCTAGACCCCATGTTATGCCCCTACCTAAGCACCAAACCATGGATAACTCCTTAAAAGTTCCGACCTCAACCTGGAGTAGATGCAGTCCTGCTGCCATTGGCACCACCATTGGAGCCAGGGCTAAACTGCATGTTTGTTGATTTAAGTGTTTGCAAACCACTCAATATCTAGACAGATTCTTGAGCAATGAAAAATAAAGAGCTAAAATAGATAAACAAATTTTAAAAACACATTAAAAACAAGGGTTAAAACTGCAGCTCATCATCAAGAAAGCCTTCTGAAACACAGAGAGCTCTAGCAGGTGCCAAAAACAACAGTGCTGGTGTTTGACCTCCTAAGGCAGGGAATTCCAAAGTTTGCTGGAATGAGAAATTGACACATCTTGCCATAGTGGGGCCAACACTGAAGGCTCTTCTCCTGGCGAATACCAGTCAGGCCACGGGCCCTTGTGGGAGACTGTCCAGGAGAATGTCTTCCTATGACCTGGGTGACTGGGCCTATGGGCAAGGCACTCTCACAAGTATCCTGATCCCAGGTTGTTCAGGGCTTTGTACAGTAGTACTAGATCATTAAACATGGCCTGGTAGGGAACAGGTAGTCAGTGACGTTCCTTCAGCAAAGGGGTAACCTGCAGCGACAGAGAAGCTGCTGCATTCTGTGCTAACTCCTGCTTCTGGAGAAGTCTCATGGGCAGCCCCACTTACAGCACATTGCTGTAATCTAGTCTTGAACTTACCAGGGCATGTGATCACTGTGACCAAGCTGATCCTATCCAGGATTGGCCAAGCAGGGGAAACAGTCAGAAACAGAAAAGGTGCTTTGAGCCACCACAGTCACTTGGGCTGCAGAAACAGCCATGGACCTCGGAATGCCTCCGACTGCAACCTTGCTCTTTCAGAGGGAGTGCAAGCCATCTGGAACAGGTGGAGCCACTCTCCCATGGGGCTTCCATCTTGCCCTGTGGAGCTTATGGGGGGTGGGATGGGGAGGCTGAAGCTTTCCTTGGGTTATTCCAGTGTCAATGCACAGAGCCTTGATTCAGACCAGGAACACTGTTCTCCAGGAAGGGAAGGTTAAACTTTAGCCTGTGCACCTTTTATTTCCTAAAATCCCCTCCATGTAGGGATTAAAAAAGAAAAAAAAAGTCCCCACCAATGTAGATCGAGCTTTTCCTTCCTTTACAATCACCCCTATGAGAAGGAATTTTAGGGGAAAATATGCTGGGGATGCTCCTCTTGGAGTCCTAACCCAATTTAGGATTCTGCACATGTACTTCTACTAGAGTAAAGAAGTGGAAGCTAAGCCTCAGCTCCATGCTGTTCAATCTATATAATGCATAGCTTGGCTCTTGGTGCAGTACAGTGAATAGTTCAGCATGTCTGATAAGGGCATGGGTTCTTTAGACAATGTCACAAGTCTCCCGTTTTGCTTCTTGCTTTGTGTCTTAACATTTTTGGCAAGGTTTTCAGAGCAGAGAAACTGACATTTTTCTCAAAGCACTTTTTTCACTTATGTATCTCTGTACCACAGTGCCATCTAGAGGTTATGTAGCAGAAAGACAGGAACGGAAATGCTCTTTGTGTAGTGCTGAGATCTTAATTTTGGGATGAAACTGAAAGCAGATACAGCACGGTAACAGCCTCATGGAAAAAAAGCCCTGTGTGGAACTTCAGGTACTCACTGTGATGTCCCTCTCCTCCATCTCTCAAGACATGTGAGCAAATGGTTTCAAGAATATTTCTGACACCAGAGCAATGGGGAAACACTTCTCCATTCTAAGAACTCCTTCATTGGTGTTGGCCCCTTTCCCAAAACGAGTCCATTGCTCTTGTACTCAGCTGGGCCTGCCCCTTCTTGTGGCAGCTGTGGGGAGCCTGATGCTGACAGTCTCCGTGGCCTCCTTATAGGCTGCCCCATCCAGCAGACCCCTGATCTCCATAAACAAAAATGTAAAATACCATTGCATTCCTTAGCAGTTGCATTAGATTTATGAGCTGTTTAAAAATGTACCTGCAGAAGCATAAGGTCACCTTCATGTGTCTCCTGATCATAGCATGGGTAAGGAACCTGTTTAACAATTGTAAAGTTCTGTTTTGTAGACTCAGATTTCGAAATGGAATGAGCTCCAAGTATAACTTTGGTGGTCTTCTCACTACAAAAATAAGAAAGACAGATAAAAGATGTCAATTTCTAGAAAGGGTGATACTAATATTGTCACTGTCTGTTAATGAATGGTTTGGGAATATGTCACATGAACATTATTGGCTAGTATATCAGTGGGAGCCAGTGTGGTGAAATGGTTAAGGGCACTAGCTTGGGACTCTGGTGATCTGGGTTCTAGTTCCCATTCAGCCATGGAGTAAACTGGGTGACTTTTGGCCATTCACAAAATCTCAGCCCAACCTACTTCACAGGGTTGTTGTTTTGGGGATAATATTGAGAACAGAGGAAGACAATGAGTTTTTCTTCTTAAGAAAAAGGTGGGATATAAATTGAATAAATAAACAATCATGATCAAACAGACAGGATTTTTAAAGTATGGGTTTATCTTCTAGAAGTGTAAACTCAGAATTAAATCTCACTATACATAATGGTGCTTGTCCCTAGTATGTTTGTTTGAGATTCAGCTATAGTGATGATCATTCATAATATTTCAGTACAGAGATAAAGAATATTTTGGGTAGATGTGGTAAGGCCTATTCTTGGCTATATTCAAGAATCCGATGCAACATATAGTGTGCTTAAAGAGCATAGGGTAGGCAATAAACCATGCACATACGATCACAGAGCAAGTTATATGTAATTATGTCCAAAATGTCCTGGGTGTGGGAGTTGCTTCGTGGTTTGGAGACACAGTGCATCACCCATTCCTAAAGCGTTGCTGATACATGTTGCTGGTTAACCACAGAGGAAAGGATTGTCCCCATACTTACATCTGACAATGAGCTGCTGTTAACACCCAGTTTTGTTTGATCAGTGTTCCTCCACAAAGGCGGTTGCCTTTGATGATGGCCATGTATGGTCTTGAGTGTGGTTTGGATTCTTTTCCTCCAACTATTTCTGCACATTGACCTAAGTGGGAGGGATAAGATACGCTCATCACAATAGCTCATAACATGCAGGTTAATCTTCTAGTAACAAGGGAGAGATGTGTAATGCCATAAAAGACGCTTGATGATCTGATAAACTGGAAATGTGCTTATTGGTGTGGCAGTCAAGTGCTGGGCAGCCCTCCTTTTTCTGCAGCTCCAGGAAGACAGCAAAACAAGCGCAGTGTGGTTTTGCTAAGTTGCCAAATGTGCTGGGTTGGCATGATAGACAGCAAGCTGTGCATGCTTTCCCTAAAGCAAGGGTGTCAAACCTCAGAGCTGTGGTCTTAGTTGGGCCCCCAGTGGCCCCAACTGGGTCCTCTGGGAGTCCCCAGATAGCCATACTCTCATCCTTCATCCCCACCACCTTTTTCCAGACCAAAGATAGTATGGTGACTTCCTGAAACCTCAGGCCTTCAGGTCCTTTCCAACTATACCATTCTATTATTCTATGAACACAACCATGTTATAAGCAGCCCCAATTTTAAAGTCCTATAAATGCTAAATGCTAAGCAAGGAAAGTTGAATGTGGCTGATTCCTACTGAAATCAAGCACCGATTCAGAACTTACTTTTCAATGACGTTTATGCAACCAAAGGTGATAAAAATGGCCAAAACATGTTTGTTACAGGTCAGATTAAAATATAATTAATAATATTATATATGCATAAGTAAATACAATTTATGCATACCTAATGTTCTTTGGGATACACGTATATGCAAGTAGCAAAAACCCAAAGGAGTGTGTCTGTCCGTACAGGTGCAATTCCACTGGCAAGCAACTCTTTTGCTGAGGGAAATCCACTGGCTGCCTACTTGCTATGGGACCATGTGTAACTTTTTGGTACTAGTGTATAGAGCCCTAAACAACTTAGGTCCAGGATACCTGAGAGGGCTCCTCATCTTTTACCAACCTGCCCAGTCCTGAGGTCACCGGATGGCATGCTTTGGACCTATGACCTGACTGGAGTCCAGCCAACATGTCCCTGCCTCTGGAGGTCAGGCAGGCACCGACACTGTGTGGTTTTTTGGTGCCTCCTGAAAACATCTTTATTTCAAGCAGCCTGACACCTATTGACCTGATGCTCTTCTATCAATATTCTATTTTAATATAGTTTCCCCCTCTTCTTAATTTTATTCTTTATTGTTTTGAAAAAATGTTAGATGTGGAGTTGTATACTAATGTTATAAATTCCTAAATAAAATTTGAGAGGGTGTGTAATGGGAATTCCAGCCTTATAAATCCAGTTAAGATTCTGTGATCAGGTAGCAACAGTGACACATGCACTGGTAACTTCCTGATTGGATGACTGTAATGCTCTCTACATGGGGCTGCCCTTGAAGACAGTCTGGATACTTCAGATGGTGCAAAACAGAGCAGCCAGGTTGCTGACGTGGACTGGGCGTTACTCTCACACAACCCCAGTCCTCTACCAGCTTCACTGGCTCCCCATCGAAGTCTGGGCCCAATTCAAGGTACTGGTTATCACCTACAAAGCCCTTAACAGCTTGGGACCTGGATACTTGAAGGAGCACCTGCTTCCATATATGCCCTCCCGCCCCTTGAGATCAGCAGCAGAGGCCCTCCTCCGGGAGCCTTCCATGAGAGACATCAGGAAGCAAAGTACCCAGAGGAAGGCTTTCTCTGCGGTGGCGCCCCATCTGTGGAATGCACTCCCCAGAGAGGTCCGCCTGGTGCCATCGTTATTTGTTTTTCAGCGCCAGGCTAAGGCCTTTTTATTCAAACAATATTTTAACAACATATAATATTTATAAGTTTTAACTGTGCAGCCAGGGTGTTTCCGGGTTTTTATCTGTATCTATATTATATTTATTTATTTGTGTGAGCTGTCCCAAGGCTATATAGCAAGGGGACGGCATACAAAAACTTAATATAAATCAGTAGAAACTCAACAGTCAAACCCCCTTGGCACACTAAGATCTATTTGAAGTGGTAAAAGGTAGCTGGAGGAAGAGAGCTGTCTATGCTTCATGGAATGAAACCCTCAAATAAAAACCTTCCGAGCAAAACAACAGCACCCCCTGTACACAATCTCCTACAATATGAAGAATGTCCAAGTTTTGAGGAAATGTTTTAATGAATTGTTCTATGGTGTTATCACACCAAAAGCATGGGGAACTTACAATTTTGGGGAGCGCTTACATCCATATTTGCCCAGTTGCCCCCTGAGATCGGCGGGAGAGGCCCTTCTCCGGGAGCCCTCCGTGAGAGAAATTAGGAGGGTGGCTACTCAGAGAAGGGCTTTCTCAGTGGTGGCGCCTAAGTTATGGAATGCGCTCCCCAGAGAGGTCCGCCTGGCGCCATCGTTATTTGTTTTTCGGCGCCAGGCTAAGACCTTTTTATTTAAGCAACATTTTAAATGCTAAATACAATTGAATTTTATCTGGCCAGGGCGGCTTATTTTATAATGTGTGTTTTAATTAAGATTATTTTATATGGCTGTTTTAACTTATTGTTTTATCTATGTTGTAAGCCGCCCCAAGGCTTCGGCGAATGGGGCGGCATAAAAATGTTTTAATAAAAATAAAATAAAAATAAATTTTAATTACATTTTCATGAATCGGGTTTTTGTATCATTTTTTAATTAGGATTTTGGTTTTACTTTGTATTTTTATTACTGTTATCCTCCTGGAAGATCATTTTCAGTAGAAAGGCTGGAGGAGCAGTGAGAAGATAGACATGCTATAAAAGGAGATGGCCACTTTCTTTAAAAATTTGTGTAGGGCAGTATAGAGTCAATCACCTACTAGTTGTCTTACCAAAAGAAAAGAAAAGAAAAGAAAAGAAAAAAGAAAAGAAAAGAAAAGAAAAGAAAAGAGTTTTTTAAATGTTACATTTCATATCTTGGAGTTGTAATCACTGCAATACTTATCTAGAAATTTAGATGTTCAATTTGTAAAACATTAAAAGGGTGGAAAAGGAAGAAAAATAATTAATATGGCACCATTCTATTTATTTCCTATGTTGTAGCTCTTCAAACATTTGATGACACTGCATACCACTTTTCACCATTTATTTTTTTTAATATATATGTACACACAAAATAACATACACTTACACACATTCACTTTATAAGCAGTATAACTTGTATTTCTGTTGCCATTTCATTAGATGTAGAGTTCCTACTTAGGCCATTTTACTGTAGATGTTTCATAATATTATTGGTAATAGAGTAAGAGTTATAATGCATTAATCCATTTGTTCTTTTGTTATCTCAATTTATTGTTACATATTAAATTGAGATAACGGTATATGTTCTTTTTTGTGACTTAATTTTGTTAACTATACTTTGAAAGAACAACATTCATGTAAGATAAGAAAGAAAAAGGGGGGGAAACCATAAAATCAGTAGGGCTTCTGGAAGAGATGTATTAATATTGCTGAGTTAGTGCTGAGATAAAAATAATATAACTCTCCTTCACTGCAATTGACTCACAAACTGCTCATTTAGTAATAATAATGATGATGTTGATGACAATGACGAATTGCAGTGAGGCCATGAGCTTTTGACCTCACCTGGATCAAACCAAGGTGCCTGGTGTTTATCATGAAGCAATCTTGCAGAGCAAGATTGTTCTGGTGAACCATTTCCTTCTCTAAGGTTGCCTCTCCTGACTGCCATTCTACACAGCAAATGTAGTCAGGAGGAGATGAGGTAAGAGAAACACAGTCCATAATGTATCACTTACCTCTGGGAGTCTTGAGGAGAAAAATGATGGTTGAGAACCACAAGCCAGTGAAAATCATCTTCATTGCTGTTTTTTTGTTCCCCCACAACAAAGTGTCTAACATATATATTGAGTATACAAAGGAAATGGGAGTTTTTCCTCCTATGGGAGGAACCTGAGAAGAAGCTGAGAAACTGGAAACGCCCCCAAAGTCCCCTCTGAAATAATCTCCTTCTTCATTTCTAGGTGTGAGGGGTACGTGCCATATACGCAACTAGCTTGTCTAATGAGATAGGAAGTGAAAGAGTGACTCGACTTATGTTCCAGGACTGACAGTGCATTACTGAGTGTGTGGTTTGGTATTTATAAAATATTTCCTGTCATATCTTTATAGCTGAAGCTGCTGCACGAAAACATTATTTGATGGACTATTACTATAAAGATTTCTGGTATGTAATCATTTCCTGCTGTGTCATAACAAAACTTGAGTTAAGTATAGATACATGGTGGGTCTAGGCAATAGTGATGGAGGGCTGTTTGCCCCATCCTTCCCCTCAGGCTTCCCACAGGTGTGTCAGAAGATTCAACAGAAGGACCAATTTTGGCTGTTCCCCCTACCACAATTGTAAACGGTTTTTCACTTGTAGCAAGTTCCCCCCTTAATCTTCCCTCTCTAAGATTTCAGTCTTCAGTTTGATAGCCAGATTTCATAACCTGTCTGACAGCCAGTGATAGCCCTTTTGAGATGTCCAGGTGGCATATTGGAAGGGCTGTCAGTGGTTGCCAACTTTTTTTTTTAAATGTGCAAATATTGTTGCACATAATGGGTACAATTTTTAACAGTTTGCCAGCCAATGAAGGCTCCTGGCATGCTTTGAAAGGGATATCACTGACTATCAGGAAGATTGCAAAAAGTAACCGTCAAACCAGGGATTTGAAAAAAATAAAATTTAGGGAGGTGAGGAGAGAAGCCGCTCCAAGCAGAAAGAACTCAACGTTTGTGTTGGAGGACATTCAGTCTGTGCCAGACATCCCATCCTACTCAGAGGAGTGGGGCTCCTGGCACTGGGCAAGCTTGGGAAAAGTAGCAAGGGGGTTCACCACACTTGTCAAATAACTTACTGGCCAGTTCCCAGTACCCTGATAAGATTGCTTATCCAGGTTCAGAGGACACAATGATCTATATCATGGGTAAAATAACCCCTAGAACAAGCCACGAGGAGCCAGTGGCTTGTTGCCCACAAACAAACCACCCTGCAGGATATGCTACGGGTCCACATGACAATCCATCATGGCTTGTTGCTTGCTGTGGGTTTTGGTGTCATGCCAACCCAGTCACTGTTAAAAGAAGGGTTTAAAAGAGGTATTGAGCTTCATCGCCCTGCCAGTAATTGGTCAGTTTAGACCAGGGGTCGGCAACCTTTAACACTCAAAGAGCCATTTGGACCCGTTTCCCACAGAAAAGAAAACACCGGGAGCTGCAAAACCCTTTTGACATCTAAAATGAAGGTAACACAGCATATATCGTTTTTTACCTTAATGCTATGTATATCTTCATTATGATTTAGCTGCAGCTCTTGTTCAGTCACTAAAAACTGTTATTTTTAATCTTACATTATAAACTAGTAGGACTCCTTTCATATATTTTGAATAGGAGAACAGCTTTCTGCAAAGTCAGTGCTAAAAGGCTGCATGCATTAAACAGCAAACCCCATAAGTTTGTCAGCAGTAAAAGCAAATGAATCTACCCATGTACCATTAAACGTTCTGTCTGCTTCAGAAACTTTTCTTCAATTTATCCATGGTTGGCCTACTGGGGTTGGTGGGGGCGTGGAGGGGAAGCTCAGTAAATCCAGTGCGGGTCCCAGATTGGCTGTGCCGAAGATATAGGTGTATTTAGTGGCTGATTAACAGATAAACAGTCAAGTGCTGTGAATTGTGACAGGTCCCAAGCGCAGCTTTTAACGTTCAGATGAAGGAGATTACATTGGGACAAAGAGAATCTTTTCAGCAGGGTTTGAGTAACATGAGAGCCTGCTTGAAAGCTCTTTCCCTGCAATATAGCAGAGGAATGTAGCAATTTACTTAACCAGCCTCGGTCGCAGATCGGCGACAGAGCATCAGCAGAGGGATTCAAGAGCCACGTGCGGTTCTGGAGTCGTGGGTTGCTGACCCCTGGTTTAGATAAATTCTTTTGAAAAAGTCTTTGTGACATTCAATAGGCGGAAGCAAAGCTTTTGCCGAATAAGTTGAATCCTAAGATCTGTAGATATTACAGGTATAGATACCAAAACAGTAACTCATTGATAACACACTGGGATGATCCAGCTCCCTATTCCATTCCTGCTTTGAACCTTGAATCTCATATTTATTCAGCAATAACAAGAGTTTACAGACAAGGATTGTGGGTAGCTTGCCTGACCAAACTCGGTTCTTGCTTCCAATAATGACAGAGACTCTGTTGCAGTAAATGTGGCCAGGCCAGTCCTAGATGCTTCAGTTTCAGGTACTGTCATGCAGCCGTGGCTGACAAACCATATTTGTCATGCAGGGCAGAAAATGACAGAAACATCATTGTCACCCTCACACTGGTCCAAAGTAAAATCACCTTATCTTTCTCCATGCCCCTCACAAAAACATTTTCTAGCTAATTTTAAAATCTGGATTGCCCCATTAAGTCAATACAGGATGAAGAAACAGATGAAGGTATAATTGAAGAATTGTATAATTGTAGAAACTGTTTCCTGTTGTAGAAACACTGCAGAAATATTACAGAAACTGCAGTCGTGCATACCTAGAACATTTTAAAAGGAGGAGCTAGGTGGAATACCTACATATTGTCCCATCATGTGGGATGGTAGCAGTGGGGTAATCACCATGGATTCATAGCAGAGGAAAGGATTTGTGTGTGTGACTGTGAAAAAAATCTTGTTAGTTTGCATTAGTGTCACATGTTTTGACATTAATGAATAAGGAACTGAAAATTAGAAATGGTGTGAACTGAGAAGCATTAGCCAAAGAATTGGAGATTGCATGCCTATGGGTGCAACTAGAATCTGACTTCCGAGAGAGGAAGAGAGTTTCCCGAAGCGAAGACTTGCTTATCGTTTGCTCACAAAATGTCACTTGACCCAACTTCTGGGGATTTTCTCTCCCCCTACCACCACTACCACAGCTCAACAAGGTCTCCTGACTCTCTTGATAGCACTTCTGGTGTTGTTGTAGGGCCTGCCATAGAAAGAGAAGTCTTTTTCTGCTGGTGCAGTTGATCCAGTGTAAATATTTCTTTATTTAAAAATCTTCTATACCATCTATATTTCTATAGAAAATTTCTAGACGTTTACAATAATAAAACTTCAAAGCAATTTGCACTACTTTATTAAAAAAATTAAGATATATATTAACAGTAACAATTAAGATGCTGGTTAAATAAAAAGGTCTTTGTCTGGCACTGGAATTAATAAAGAGTTGGTGCCAGACAAACTTCTTTGGGGAGCATATGCCATAACAGAGGTGCCACCACTGCTACAACCCCTTCTTGTAGTGGCCCTCCTCACTTCCTTCAAGAAGGGCTCTTGGAGAAGGACCTGCATAGAAGATCTTAAGGACTGGGCAGGTGTAATATGGATGCAACTGCCTCTTGAGAAATCTTCACCCTTGAAAAGCGCAGGGAGAGGAACTGAAGCATTAACACAGTGCTGCTTATCTATCTTATCTCTTCATAAGATCATCATCTACACCAGTTCTAGTGTTCAAGAATCTCTTTTTGATAGAACTTTCATGCCAGTAGGAGCTCTTCTCTTGATGTGCAGATTAATTTCATTATGGTGATTTTTTTTTTTTTTTTTTTGCAATCTTGTTAAGGGGAAAGGTTGATGCTCTTTCTGGTTCTCACAAGACCTTACAGTGGCTACTATTTGCACCTTTAAAAAGATAGACAGGACTGGATCCAATCTGCTGCAGAGAAAAGACTAAGGGGCGAAGTGTACATTTTAATGTCACACGTAGTTTACTCCTTAATGTGATCGGTGCATGAAGAATGGAGTTTCACTGGAAATCTCTCATGCTGATTGTCAGGAACTGTCCAATCAGGATCATGGGAAGTTACAATCCCAGATAATTGTTCTTGATATCTTGGTGGCTTTTCATGCCATCAGCTGTGCTGAACAACTGTTACAAAATACTTCTGCAGGTATTCACCAACCTGTTTACAGAGGGCAAATTAGGAGAGGACTTTTTGTCTACTTCAGAGATACTTTCAGGGGGGAGAGAAAATTGATGAATTGATTTGGTGGGAAGAAAGGCTGCATCTCTCTCTCTCTTTACCACCTCTATGCTTCCTACTCCCCAGTCCCTTCCTTGTACCTGGGCGCTGTAGGAAAGCAAGGTAGTCCAAAACCAGCTGGCCAGATGCCTGATGATCATGATGACAGAAATGAGAATGATGATGATGATAATGATTCAAGTGTGTAGACATTTCTCTCTAAAAATACTCAAAGCATCTTACAGCAAAGGTTAAAGCATATTTTATTTTATTTTATTTTATTTTATTTTATTTTATTTTATTTATTACATTTAACTGCCCCATAGCCCATAGGGCTGTCTGGGCAGTGTGCAAAAAGCAAACCAATGTAAATCAGGTAAATATAATTTAAAATGCCAAGATCTGGATTTGCATTCCTTGGACGCTAATATTAGAGAAGCTCCACATGATGTTCATTGTAGAAGGCAAGAATGCTAAGGAAAGTTGAAAGCAACAGAAGAAGACCAAATATAAGATGGATCAATTCAATAAGGAAAGCTGCAGCCTTCAGTTTACAGGGGCTGAACAGGGTTGTCAGGGACATGACATCTTGTGGGCATTTATTAATAGGGTCAACATAAGTTGGAGACAACTTGATGGCATGAAACAACAGCAGCATGATGTAAACTCAACAACTGCTTGTTTAGACATGTTGGATTCTTTTCATCATGTAGCTCTTGAGGATGCAAATAAGGTGTCTCTGTATCTCTGTGTGTGGCTTTTGCCTTTCTTGGGTGATTAAATTGGCCAGTGTGTGCCTGAAGCCATGGCTA